ACTCCACTCCACTCCACTCCACTCCACTCCACTCCACTCCACTCCACACTCACTGGTTGTCCATGCGTTTCCCCGCGTTTTGTTCGCTGTTGAGGCGATGGCAGCGTTTTTGCTTAGCGTAAACCCAACTCAGCTCACACCATTTCATCTCACACCAACTCATCTCACTGACATACTGGCCCGATAGCGGGGTGGGGGTGTTTGTTGTCTCAATTGGGGGGAGGATTATTACAAGAACTGGGGGCGGGGTTGTTATCCCATTTGGGGGGAATATTAGAGGAATGGGGGGGTAGTAAAGAAAATAGTCTTCCCAATTCATTTTTCTTTAGCCATTGTCACATCCTTCTTGTAGCACAGGTTTTGGTTAAAATCCGTCTCGTAGCACAGATTTGGGTTAAAACCCTTCTCGTAGCACAGGTTTCCTTTGAACGCCTTTTGGTAGCACAGTTTTCTTTACAAGGCTACTCGTAGCACAGGCTTCCTTTAAGAGCTTTTTCGTAGCACAGGTTTTCCTTTCAAAGGCTTTTCGGGTTTAGGGTCAAAACCTGGAGTTTGACGGTCGTCAGATTTTGGTTAAATTCTAGTATAACTATTTTCAATGGCGAACGGCCCGGTTCCTGGCAAATCCTAGGGTGGGCACGGTGGGCCCCACGGCCGGCTTTCGGTAGTACAGGTTTGATTAAATGCATTCTCGTAGCACAGGTTTTGGTTAATTTGTTGGGCAAAACTAGATGTGACGTACCCACGGAACAATCCCCCCCGGCCCGCCTATCGGGCCGGTCTGCTCACTGACCCACTCACTTGCTCACTCCCTCACGACAAAAGCAAGTTCACCATCATAGCTTGAATCATCCGCTCATCATCCGGATGCGTTCATCCGCTATCATTCCTGTTTCTTCCGCTGTTGCCTCCACTTGTCATGAACGCAAAAACATCATATGAATATGTGGGTGGGGTTTATCCGGTCCTTTTTTTTTTCCTACGCAAAGCTAAAGAAAACATTCTTGGCTACTTAAGGTGCTTTCGGATGTGATTCGGGTAGCAATGTCCAAGACCCAGGGCACCGAGGTTGGGGCACCGATCACGGCGCCCGGAGACAGACGACAGCCGTTGCGTACCGCTGTGTGAGCCGTTGCCATTGCCGTTGCGTGGAAAGGTAAGAACCAAATGGCTCGAAGGCGGACCAGCTACGAGCTCAGGAAGTTGTGGCCTTTGTTTCGTGTGCAACGAATCAGGTCGACAGAATCCGGCACTTGACTCAACGTTTGAGGTGTTACCACCCTTCCTCAGCACCATGGAAGAGGCGAAGGCCAGGGGTTCCAACAGTCAGACTGATGTGACAATGCTGCGCCATAGGCTCAGTCTTCCACATGCACATCAATTCAATAATTGTCACTTCGAACTTGCAATTCCAATGCCCATAAACCAGTTGGAGAAAACCACCATAGCCCTTCTAGTGTAGCTTGGTTAGGACACAGATGGACACACCATTCGGTGATGTAATCAAATGAATAGTCTGTCAGTGACTTCTAAGCCTTTGGCAGCATTTAGAGGCACATGACCCAGACCTTACTGTGCGTTATGCACTGAGCGCGTTCGAGGAGCCTGCATGTTTTCCTTTTTTTTTTGCCGTGTGTATAAAGGCTATGTTGGTCTCAATATGTGTGTGCTTGCTTCAGCATGCTTCAGCCCTCCCTTGACTTCTTGCATCCACATCGCCTCAAATTCCAATCGCCTCAGCTGGATGAGCTGTGTGCGGTTCGCATCAGACAGCGACCTTTGAGGACCTGAACAGTGCCATTAAGAATTTGCGCAGATGCTTCGGTTTCCCCTACCAGGAGTACATCGGGTGTGGAGCTCAAAAGGGTTCAGCTCACCATCCGTCCCAAACCGGCCGAGTCGGTGCTCCAAGGTACATGAACACACTCACTCATCAGTACCGGACTCGCAGCGAACATGAGGCTGGTAGTCACTGGAGTTCACCGGACAAACGTCACTGGAGTTCAACATGAACAAACCCCACCTCGTTACTACTAGCTTTTTGTTACTGGTAGCGATGCCAGGAGCTACTAGTAGCGTCCTTGCTCCTAGTAGCGATGTGCCTTGTTACCATTCAGTTCACTGAACTTCATTTGTTCGAATATGTCGTCATTTGTTCTGTTTTCAGGGGTTGATTGACCGCATCCGTCGCTGGGCGATGTTCGGCAATGTCGGTGTCCCAGCGCTGGGCAGCAATTTCGAATCCGTGTGTCTCTCGGGAGCCGATGGGGAGTGGTGATTTGGTGATGGCGAAGTGCACCGATTGGGAGAAACATGGAATATCTATCACTTTGTTCGCCCTGATTGGGCTCTACTTGGGGGAAGTGGGAGAGATTCGGAGTTCAACAGAAGGTTCAGGACAAGAAACCAGGCCTATGGCCTATGGAGGACAAGGGCTGGACTGGGAAGCCGAGGAGTTGCCTGAATGCAACAGCATTATTTTTGCACTGCTGGGGACAGTGCAGAAGTCCTTCCATGGGCGAAAAAGTGTCAGAAGCACCAAAGTGTCAGTCGTTTTTGGTTTGATTTGAGATGTGGGATCTCCACAACATTATTGCATTTTTGGAGGCGTTTTAGAGCTCTGTCCACTAACACCAGCACTTTCCAGTTTGGCAAAGACTGTGACCTCCAATAAGGTTGATGCAGTGCTTTGGATCGACTATGCCAAAGCGGGATGCGTCAGAATCTGTTGGATCGATGAACCAAAGTCCTAAAGATCAAGATTGGGATTTGCGCGGCAGCAACAGATCATATTCACTTTTATTTCGTTATGGCCTCCAACCTAACTTTTCTTTATCAATGCCCTTTACACCGACCATGGTGCCGTTCGTGGTGCACCGTTTGCCCAGGCGAATCAGCCACCGGGCTCCTTCAAGATGGGCCCTCGCGAGTCACGGCCCTTTGGCCCCGGGCATTTGCAGGCAGGACTTCCCCGCCGTGGGGGTGACACCGGAGGCACCGGGTGGTGGAAGGTGTTTTGATTGGTAGTATATATATATATAATAGTGTCAATTGGCCATGTCTGCCACCAGTCACTCGCAGGGCTGTCGTGCACTTCCATTCGTCCGAAGGCCATTTCGCGACTCGAGGCATCGCAGGAAAAAGGCCGCCTGGTCCGCAGGGTCGGACACCTTGGTAGGTGTTTTGTGATTGGTAGCGGAGCCGGTCGAAAGGGACCGGCTCCGGGTAGGATCCCTGAGTTGCGCCATGTCTGCCGCTGCTCCTTTCGACCCTGGAGGTGGAAACAATAGGGTATTCACTGGTGATGATGAAGATGCCAAGGGATATCGGAGATGGAAGATTTGGACTGCCAACAAGTTGCTGACGCTCAGCGACAAAGTGCCCGCCACGGCTCGTGGCGCCTACGTATACACGTTGTTGGGTGGAAAGGCCTTGGAGGCCGTGGAGCATTTGGAACCATCCTCCTATCAGAAGGAGGGTGGCGAGAAGGTGCTGTTCGAACTCCTGGATCGTCGTTTTCCTCAAAAGGAGGCTTCGGATGAGCTCAGCGAGAACTTGACCCGGATCTTCGAGCTACGAGCTCACGAAGGAGAATCCCTCAAGTCATGGGTCAGTCGAGCTTCAGAGGCTTTTGACAACCTGCAGCGCAAGACGAACGTCTCCTTTCCGGAGGAGGCTAGAGGATGGCTCATCCTCCATCGTTCAGGCCTCAATGCTGAACAGGTTGCCGTCGTTTTGGCCAGATCGCTGGGAGTGCTTAAGCGTGAAGAAGTTGGAAAGGCAATGCGTAGCTGTTATCCCAATTTTTCCGCGCCCAAGCGCCGTGTTGCAAGCGCTGCCCTGGTTTCCGAAGAAACCCTGCTGGCTGATATGTTGGAGGATGACGAGAACGGTCAGGACCCGTCGTTTGAGGACGTTGAACTCCTGTTGGCTGATGACACTACGGCCGATGATGGAGAACCCGATGACGTGTTTGACGAACGTGACATCAAGGAGACCTTGGCTGTCACTTGGCAGGAGAAACGGAAAAGCCTGGCTCGATTGCAGAAGGATCGTAAGTTCCATGATGCTGGCCACCTTCGACGACAGTTCAGAGTTGAAGTGGAGGAGCTCAAACGTCGTACAAGATGCCACAAGTGTGGCCAGGTGGGACACTGGTCCAAAGAGTGCCGCAATTCGAGCAAGGGCTCAAAAGGAAAAGGCAAAGGTCATGGTAAAGCCCCAGCAACCTCCAGTGAGTCGGGAGCTGCTCTGGTCGAACATTTTGTTGCCATGGTGATTCCAGAGTTGACATTGCTTCAACGTGTACGAGCTCTTCATTCTCCACTCGCTAGAGAACCTCCTCAGGAGCTGCTCTTAGTGTCCAGCCCAGGATATGGTATCCTGGATTCTGGGTGTGGTCGTTCCATTGTGGGAGAGGATACACTGAGCGAGTTCCGTGAGTTGTGGAAAGCCCATGGTTTTGTTGACCCTGAGCCTATTCAAGAGCTGAACCATTTCCGGTTTGGGAATGGTGCCCAGGAAACTTCGCATCAAGTGATCCCCATGCCGGTCGTGTTGGGAGGTCGTTCGGGAGTGATCAAAGCAGCCCTTGTGAAAGGTCGTGCTCCCCTGTTGATCTCTCGGAAAGCCCTGATGACGCTTCAGGCCAAGATTGACTTTCAGAAGGCCGAACTCACCCTCTTTTCGGATGAAGTCAAAGTTCCTCTTCAGACCAACACCGCTGGCCAGTTCATTGTAAACCTGTTGGGTGACAAGACTCCTCATGAAGCATCCTTTGAGGAAGTCATGGAGACACATGTAGTGCCACCGGCTGAGCAGCCGTCTCTTGATGCCCCGGAGTCTGATCCACCGACAGCTGATCAGACGCCCATGGATGAGCCTCTCACCTCAGGACACCTGTCGATTTGGTCTCGTATCGACGATGGATTGAAATTTGCACCACTCTCCGGTAAGCAAGGTCCTAGTTGGAGCCAGGTCGTCCGTCGCCGGGTCACCGATTTCGTGTCTGGAGAAGTCATTCTTGATCAACAGATAGAACACCATAAGGGCAAGAACCAATATCACACGTTGATTCCACCACAGCACGTTCGAGTGAAGACCGAGTTCTTTTTCCGGCCACAGGAGAAGATGTGCCCTACTGAGTGTCTGCCGGTTCATCACCTGCGACAACTGAGATCTCAGGTGAAGTGCACGAACGCATGTCCAGCTACCATGATCAAGGGTCGCCGATTCGTTGTAGCCGAAGTTTTCAGTCCACCTCGATTTGCACCTGTCGCCCAAGAGTTTGGTTTCCACGCGACATCATATGATCTGATAACCGGATATGACTTTACTAAGAAAGAGCATCGCGACTTGGTCCAAGAAGAGCTGGACATCTCACCACCCGACCTGTTGGTCCTGTGTCCGCCTTGCACTCATGAGGGAGGATGGTGGCATCTCAATGCCGCTAAGCTGCCTCCGCATCTAGTTCTGAAGCTGAGGATGCGAAGCCGGATGTTCATCAAGTTTTGTCTGGAGCTGTTTGAACAACAGGTGTCTAAGGGTAGATTCGCTATGTTCGAGCACCCCCTTGGATCTCAAGTTTGGACTCTACCTGACATGAAGAAGTTGTTGAACCGATTCTATTCGACCAAGTTGCACATGTGTCGATATGGTATGAGGATGCCCCACCATGATTGTTTCATCCGGAAACCCACTCGTCTTTTGATCAGTCATCGGAACATGGAGTCTTTAGGGCTGGTTTGTCCAGGAAAGCAACATCGTCAACATGCATGTCATGATGTGATTGCCGGTTCAGCAGTTGGGGTGGGTTCCATTAGCAAGTTTGCAGGTCAATATCCCCCAGCCTTTGTTGAGAGTGTCCTTCGAACCATTCCTGCTTTTGCAAGGGTCTGGGAAGCATCCTTAGTGCAGTGTGGAGATGAATCGTTCTCACACGTGGTTGAAGAATGCCTGGCGGCCCACCGCGAGGATCTGACACGACCGGAGGTCGAGGACGCTCGAGTGAATGGTGCCCTGATGAAATTACACAAGAACCTAGGACACCCGTCCAACACTGACTTGGTTCGAATCCTTCGTCATGGTCAGGCTTCGCAGAAGGCCATAGCCATGGCCCGGGATCTGGTGTGCGATTTTTGCAAGGCTCACATCAAGCCTCATGTGCCGCTTCCAGCACAGTCAGGTCGCATCACTCAATTCAACCAGTTAGTCGGGGTGGACGTGAAGTACCTCCCAGGTTGGTTGCCTAACCAAAAGATCAAGTCTGTTAACATGGTTGATCAGGGGTCGTGCTTTCAACAGATTGTTCCCTTCTTTGAGCAAGAGACATCAATGTTGATTGGCAAGATCTTTGCCGAAGCCTGGGTCCGCTGGGCCGGACCTCCGGAGTCTGTGATCGTCGATCCTGCGCAAACCATGTTAGGTGAAGCATTCCAATCGTATCTAGAGTCCATGGGAACCCACTGCAAGGTCATTGCTGCCGAAGCACACTGGCAATTAGGACGCACTGAGAATCATGGAGGTTGGTTTGGTAGGATTCTGCAAAAGATGATTGATGAACATTCGCCCTCAAACAAAGAAGAATGGTTGGAGTGTGTTCGCCATGCGCATGTGAAAAACCAGTCCATTCAGTCGTATGGATTTACACCATTTCAACATGTGTTCGGCAAGAATCCAAACCTTCCTGGGGACTTGATGTCCGAACCTCTTCACATTGTTCCGGCCACCGTGGGTCTTCATGAGGAAGCCATAGCTCGCGCACAAGCGCTGCGTCGGTCGGCTCGCATGGCCGTAGTAGCTCTCCAGGATGACAAAGCAGTTCGCGCTGCCATGTCCGGTCGCCCTAGGATGGTCATGGAATTCAAAGCCGGTGAACTGGTTGCCTATTGGCGTCAACAGAAGGTCATTCAGGGGACGGTTCAACAAGGGGGTAGATGGCATGGCACCGCAGTTGTCATCGGCATGGTAGGCAGAAATGTGATTGTCGCCCACCGGAAACAGATTTTTAGGTGTGCCCCTGAACAACTCCGACCGGCAACCTCCGAAGAGCGTACCATGATTGAATCACCTGAAGCTGAATTGTTAGGTATCAAGGACTTGATTGAGGGTGGAACTTTCAAAAGCAAGCAGTATATAGATCTAGCGCCGTCCGGATATCCTCCTTGTGGGGTTGAGTTGCCGGACCCATCAGGGCGTCCTGTGGCGTCTCAAGTGCACGAGTCGGCTGAGCCGAGCCAAGATCCTGGTCCCTTCGAGATCTCTTCTCCGGGAAGCAATGTAGACATGCATGTCACAAAACCGCATGATGCCGAGCATGAGCCAGAATCTCAGGTCAAAGACCGTGCAATTGAGCCATATGTGAATCCTAAGTCCCTACCATATGTCCCGGAAGAGGAATCCTCGTATGGTCCAGTGCGGCGTAGAGTCTCCACCAAGTCTCAATCGTCTTCACTGTTTCGGCCACCAGCGATGCTAGCGGATGATTTTTCAGAGTTGATGAAAGACCTCGTGCCATCCCTTATCGAGAATGCCATTTCGAGTGAACAGGGAACATCAAGCAGTTCCGCTTCATCCGCGGCCGGAGTCAAGCGTGATCGTGAAGACGATGTGACACCCATTGAAGAACCACCGGCTCAACGTGCACGGAATGTGGATTCGGAAGTGCTGTCGATCGAGGAAGTCGCCGATGCTTGGAATGATGGCATTGAAACCCTCATTGCTGCTCACATCCAAAAGAAGCTCAGTAAAGAACTCCCTCCTCATGGCAACCCACCAGAACTTCAAGCTTTGGTGGATGAATCCAAGGTAGCTGAATGGGGAACCCTCGAAGAAAAAACCGCCATCAAGATCCATTATGGGAAAAAGGCACAAGAGTTGAAGCGTCGCTTTCCAGATAGGTTTATTGGATCTCGGTTCGTAATCATTAGAAAGGCGGCTGAAGAGGGGATCGTCATCGATCCTCTCAATCCCTCGACCTACCGTGTGAAGAGTCGTTGGTGTCTTCAGGGCCATTTGGACCCAGATCTCGATGAGAAGGCTTCAACCGGATTGCTTCAGTCTCCCACCTTGTCCCAGATGAGCCGTATGCTAATCATGCAAGTGTTAGCCTCGCATGGGTGGGTCCTTCAGCTCGGAGACATAAAAGGCGCCTTCATGGAGGCCGGTGAACTTCCTCAGAAATTCAGGCCTCTATTCGCATCCATGCCCAAAGGTGGAATCCCCGGAGTGCCAGCAGATGCCGTGATAGAGGTGATTGGAAACGTCTACGGCCAGAATGACGCGCCAAGCGCGTGGTACCGCACGTTCGATTCTGAGGCTCAACAGGCGGGTTGGATCAAGTCAAAATTTGATTCTTGCCTCTATACCCTTAGAGATCCAAAGAACGATTCCTTGTGTGGTGTCATGGGAGTGCATGTTGATGATACCGCCGTAGGTGGTTCAGGTCCCCTGTTCGATTCGGCTGTTCAGAAACTGAAGGCTCGATTTCCCTACCGAAAGTGGCGTATGGGGGAAGGTGAGTTCTGTGGTGCATACTACCGACAGGATCCCAACACCAAGGGTATTTCGATGTCTCAACAGCAGTTTGCCGAGTCCATGCGTAGTGCCTCAATCCCAAAGGGAGCTGGAAATCAAGCTCTGTTGACAGAGAGCCAGGTCAGGTTGCTGCGAGGAATAAACGGTAGCCTCAACTGGCTTTCTTCTCAATCTCGACCTGATCTTGCAGTCCAGACAAGTCTAAGTCAGCAGTGTTTCCCGAAACCGACCATTCGTCATCTGAGAGATGCCAACAATGCTATCCGACGGGCAAAACAACATAAAGACTTGTGCATCTATTTTGCTCCTGTTCCTCCCTGTGATCTGACCCTGTGCTGTCATTCCGACGCGGCTTTTGCCAATGTTGGTGCTCATACCCAAGCCGGGTATGTGATAGCGTTTTGCAATCAAAACCTCAACGAGGGACAAGTCTCCTCGTGGTCTCCGGCCGTGTGGAAGAGCTACAAGCTCAGCAGGGCGGTCAGTTCGACGCTCGGAGGAGAAGCCCAAGCCATGTCTGCAGCTTCGGGTACAGTGGAATGGGTGTGTTTGTTGCTAGCTGAAACCTTGGATGGTCCCTTTCAACCATTAGAGAGTAGACAGATCATGAGTAGGCGACCCCCAATCCTCATGACCGACTGTAAGTCTCTGTATGATCATCTGATTAGCCCATCAGCCCCCACAGCAATTGAAGATCGTAGAACCAGCATCGATGTAGTTATCATCAGAGAGTCTCTTAAAAACACCCAAGGTATCATCCGATGGCTCCCTACTGATAGAATGTTGGCAGATGCTTTGACAAAAGACAAAGCGGACCCGGCCGATCTGCTGAGATCATGCATCCGCGCTGCCTGTTACCAGGTTTCTCCAGAAAGTCTGATCCTAGAGCAACAAGCCGAGGAAAGAAGGAGACGCCAGCAACTGCGCCAGTCCCAGGACCAGGATAACCCGGTCCTAAAGGATAATTAAGTTAGATGTAAAGATACAATACTTGCTAGAGTATCGGTGCTTGCAACATTCGTTGTTTCTCCCGACTGAGTGTCATTTGCTGTTTTTGGACGTGCTCGTTTTGTCTAGGGCCTGTTACTCAAGTGCCGAAGGGAAACTCTGTTCTCAAGTGATTGTGCGCATCGTCTTGCATGTTTTTGACGTTAATGTATCGCTCGTAGCTGTTCTTCGAAGCTCAAGGGTGTGTTTCGAAATCTCGTGACCCACTGTGACTGAGGGCCATGCCATTGAATGAGGCTGAGAGTCGCCAGCTCCAACTTCTGTTGGCCAAAGCGAACGAACCCAATGTCGGAGCCGAGGATGGTGATTTCACCCTCGTGCAAGGTGAAGTCAACCGTGGTTGGGGAGCCATGACTGATGGTTCCAAGCGCCGTGAGGCGTCCAATTCCGGAGAACCAGTCCTCAAGCGTGCTGACAAGAAAGCCCCTTCTGGCTATTCGATGTCACCCGGCATGTCACCTCCATGGAAGTTAGCCCCTGATGGCCCGATGAGCTCAATGGATGATCCTGATCTTCCTCACGAGACCGGTGAGAGTGTTCAGAGTGAAGGCAAGATCCTGACTTTGCCACAGGGAGTGTCCAGCGTTGAAGTATGGGGGAAAACCCTCATCACCTGCGGTCGCTTCAAGGGAGCCAACATGTCATATGAAGAATTGTGGTCCAATACAGATCCATCCGTTGTGCAGTATAAGCAGTGGTGTTGCGCACGTGCCTTTTCGTTGACCGGCACCATGCGCGACATGTCCCAATATTTGCTTTTCATGAATGGCAAGAGCTCGAGCTCCCAGTTCTCGGATGGTCCAATCATTCCGGGATCGGACGTCCGCCGTCAATACAAGACGGCAAAGTGAAGTGCTCGTTTTGCATCTAAGCCCAACTAGAGCAGCTCCTTTAGAAGATAGAAAATATAGAATATAAGCAGTGTCAATTGGCCATGTCTGCCACCAGTCACTCGCAGGGCTGTCGTGCACTTCCATTCGTCCGAAGGCCATTTCGCGACTCGAGGCATCGCAGGAAAAAGGCCGCCTGGTCCGCAGGGTCGGACACCTTGGTAGGTGTTTTGTGAATAGTATACTATTCAAGTTCCCTTTCCAAGCAGATGACTACGGCCAAATGGCTTATACTCAGGCTTTCTTCGTTTCAGGTGAGAAGATCAGCCTATATCCGTAGGGATCATAGTGTTTGCATGAAAGCCATGTATTTCAACTGCATGTTGAGCTGTTCCTAGTGATCCTGCCCGCCACTGGCAGATCTGTGCGGAGATTCCCGAAGTGCTGCGTTTGGACGACGATGAATCTGAGGTGTGATGCCCCAAACACCTCGGCTGGACATACCTGGACATGAAAAGGTTTTGAAACGTAATGGGAAGCTCGGATAAGTTCCTGCCAGCTTCATTCGAATTGCTGATGTTGATCCTAGACCTTGACAATTTGATATCATTGAAACTCATGGATAAGCACTTTGCTGCACTTGCTGCAGTGTTTGAGTTTTTCGAGTCGAGACTAGACATTTTTCGGAAAGCGAAGGCTGCATGGAGTGAAGAGGCCGAGGAAGAGAAACATGCAGGCACCGACTTTGCGTCCAGGATGACGACGGTTTCTTGGAAAGAGACTGACTTTTTGTACATGCAGCATGCACATGTCATGAATGATAAGTCGAAATATCCCACCAGCAGTAGGTCAAGAAAGGCCTACAGTATTTGCAGGTACTGCGCATCACGGAAGCGAGGTTGCTCAGGTGGGGGCTATGCCTGTGGAAGTCCCGAGTTTTTTTTTTTTTGCGAACGCATTCCCTCAGTATATACTTGAATCATTCATCGAAGCGTTTCTTTGTGCACCAAACTTTTGATTCCGTAAAGTGAGATCCGGACCTGGCAGGTCAGTACCATGGCCATTGTGCCACGTGAGCATGAAGGCTCAGTATGGAGGCAGAGAAGAACACGCTAAAGCTACTGTTGGATTTGTCAAGGATTTCCCACATTTAAGCTGGGGGGCTTCGACTCGAGCGGTTGTGGAGGCCTCTCTCACCTAGGGTACTACATGGGATGTAGATGGTAGTAGCGACGCCCGGCCCTCCCCCAGGGACATGGTCCACAGGACCTTGACAGTGCCTTAGGTCTTGGACCAGGGGGTAGATCTTTACTCTTCTTCCCTTCGGTGCCTTAGTGCGCTTGGTCCGACCGAGGCCCGGCAACTTGAGACCACTACCTCCAAAGAGGCGGGATCCGTCAGAAAACAAGGCAAATCAAAAAAGGGAAATCGTATGGAATAGCGCATTGTTTTTACTCTTCGTAGATTAGGATGCAAAGAAACAGCAACTTGTCAAGAGTTTTGCCAGGGGCTTTGATCCTTGTGGTCATATTGTTGTCATATTTCCCAGACATTCTTGGTTCTTGGTGCATGGGGGGTGCATTCTTGGTCTCGGTTCATTTGTCATCGCGGCTTCGACCTAGGCTGCCAAGACAGATCCACCGGATGCGACCCTCACACATGCCTGAGACTCAGAGGGAGCCTCCGAAGAACGGTTGCTGTGGTTTCGGCCAGGTCCTTTGTGTAGATGCTTTTGGGACTTTGAGCATACAAAGATCACACGGTGATGCCAGCAATCCCGGCCTTCTCGTGCTGCACACATATCACTTGTCAATAACCTGAAGTCCTAAATTTTAAAAGCTTGGAAGTGCGAGGCTGATGCAGGCTGTGAGCAAAGCAGCGTCGGCGCCCCATCAGCCGCATCAGCTGCTGTGCTTTCATGGGAACATTCTATATATTCATTCCACTCTGCCGCTCTGCGTCCGTGGCCACCACAAAAAATGGGGGCCTGAAGCCTCTACACCAACATTTGTGGGAAACTCATGATGAAAACAGGAACTGCGGGAAGCCAGCTGTAGTACCTTGTCTTGCACAATGTCTGTGAAGAGGGTGGATTGGTTTGTACCAGGTCATGAAGATGAAACATCTAGAATCTACGTCGTGGAAGCAACTGAGACATCGTCCAGTCAACCAAGGATAAACTTGATTAGGTTCAATCCCATTCTTTACGTTCTTGATCAAGCATGAAACAAAAGATGGCTGACAGATCAATCTTTGGGACGCACATGGCGCATGCATGAACCCTGTGTGATTGTCGCTCAACTCCTGACCCAAGCTGCAATTGTTGGCAGGTCACCAGACAAAGACGAGGCGACGTCACCAAGCGAGCGACGGTGTTTGGACTCATGATACCAGCAAAGCAAAGCTGTTTAGACTCATGGCGATCTGCATTCTCTTAGGATCATATGTCTAAATAAACCTCAGACATATGTCTCTGATATTTGATGTGTTTCTGTTTTGTTTGGATGCAATTAAGTTCTGAGTTCATCACTTCCCCAGAAAACACTTGTAGCCCAGTAGAGATCTAACCGAACCAGGCCATCGTATCTGCGAAGAACGCGGATGATGGCCTTGACAGCCAAGACGTGCAGGAGACGTGCGGGAGGCAAAGTGAGTGAGTGAAAAGCTCAGGAGGTCACATTCACAACGGACAACGGGGTGCTCATTCAACAACCAGGACATCCTCCATATCGGTATATCCTCCATTTTTGTGTTTGAGCAAGACGCAGTAGCACAATGACCCCTGCTATACTTTCTCGTTCCATTGTGAGATCTATGATGATTTATGTCCATGAGTCCATGACCTTTGTTTGTTCCTTTTGGTTAGCCAGTTGGCCAGTGTTCTGACCTTTATGAACATCCACTATGCCGTTCTGCTGGCGACAGGACAAACTTGCTTCGAAGGCCAAGGTAGCTCAACCTGCTGGGACTGGATGCACCTGCTCACTCTCGGTCATTTAGCAATCTCTAACGTTGAGACCGGCGCATCTCCCCAAAGACCAAATATCTCAAAGCACTCATCCGTTGAGACCGCCAGAGTTTTATCCTTTCTTTTCTTTACCTCGAAAAGATCCCTTGTTCGCAGCAGGCAGAAGTGTCACCAGGGCTACAAGTTGAAGTTTCTATTTTGGAGCTACTAGTAGCTTCTTGCTCCTAGTAGCGATGCCAAGCCCCTAGTAGCGTCCTTGCTCCTAGTAGTAAGGCCAGGAGCCCCTAGTAGCTTCTTGTTAGAGATTCTTTGTTTAGGCTGCATTTCATTCAAGGTGCTTCCTGAAAGAAACATTACAGGTTGATCAACTCACACGGTTGACGATCGTCCTCGGCGGGTGCAGGCAGAACGCGATGTGTTGCGATTGCAGCTCCAAGAGGAAATTGTTCCTGTCCCAGGTGCCTCCGCAACTGGACATCAGGGCATCAAGTGTCTGATTCCCAAAGTCTGAGTAGTCCCAGATGTGAGTGGGCATCGAAACTGGAAACTTTGACCATGTCACATCTGGGCCACTTGGTTGAAGAATCGCTTTCTGCCTTTACAATGAAGAATCGATTTCTTGCAACTGCCTTGCCTTTGTCACTTCAGAGGCAAAACCTCAAAGGCGGTTTCTTTTTTCTCCCGCCCGATGGCCAGGCAGTATCTACTCCCGCTCCATTGTTCCTGGACCAGGCAGCTTGGGCTGCTACTAGTACAGGTAAAGTCAGACAGTAGGTGAGCCACGTCAAGAACCTGCATGAAGAGTTTGTGTCATGCAGTTGTCCTGACATACTCCCGCGAAAGGCAAAACTCAAGTCGCGAAAGCTTCGAGAAAGCTACTGCGGAAGACATTATAAACACATGGCTGCGAAAGGAATATGCGAAAGGACATTTTGGATGACATGTTTAATATGTGTCAGTCGCCCTGTTAAGATTTTTTGCGAAAGGTTACCCGAAAGGGCTGAGCGAGTAGTGTATGCCCGCGAAAGGCAAAGCTGTTGTCGTGAATGGACCGCGATAGCCTGTTGCGAAAGCGGGCCGGGATTACAAAGCCAGTTCCAATAGGTTTTCGACACAGCTCAGGTGGCAGCTTGTTCTTTCAAAATGAAAACATGTTCTTGTTCTGTGAGGCTACTACGGAGCCCCGAAGGCGCCAGGAGAATCGAAGAAGGAGATTTTGGACGTTTGTTTTCAGTGCAGTCACTGCCGCTGCTGCAATTGTTGGTCATAAGATCTGATCTGAAGTGCAAACGTGAACGGGAGATAGCAAGAGTGATCCACGGGCACCATGGCTTAAGAAATGGTGAGCCCAAAAGGCATGCCTTTGCAGCATTCCAGGAAGCAGCCAGCTTTCGGCCGAAGCTGTGTCCTCAGTCACCAGGAACAGTCGATGAGTACTTTGACCTTAAATTGCCAAGTAGTAGGGCCGAAAGTGGTGACCAATGCTAATTTTTGTGCCTTCTAGAACGAAGTTCAGAACATACCTTCACAACAAGGCCTCAACTTCTGTATGAACTTGAGGCAAAGTTGCTGTATAGATCGAAGTACAGTAGCTTCATAGAGTAGGGCGATAGCTATTTATTGACACGGGCTCTGTGCCAAGGGGTGTTAGCGCCTGGGATCAGCTGCGATTGAACGCCCAGTGGCTGCCCCTTGGCGCACCCAAGAGGCAGTAGAGGTCACACACACAGTCTGACTTTGTCAATAAAGGCATACTGCAACTGCAACGGTTTAAGTTTCAGCTTTTGACATTGGGTCTATTGTCCATGCGAGAAGTCATAGGCTCTCACTATCTCATTTGGCACATTGGTCTAGGCGTGCGAGAGAAACCAGGGACGAGACTGATCCGAACAGCTCAATCTTTCGAAGTGGTTTGGTGCAAGCTCAGATGTTCATGTCCAAAGTTTGCTTGAAGAGTATGATGAGTTTGGGACAAGCATGAGCTGCATACGCCAAATGTTCGACATGATGTGTGTGGTAGAGCTCACAGCAGACCCATGACCCTGATTTGCCTCCTTTGTGACCCATGTGACCCCGGTGAGACCCCCTGTCGGGCCATGGAGTCCTCCCAACACGGAAGGTGTGACACGTATAAAAGGGACTCAGCCAGTACAGGTGCCTGGTTGTAGATACCATTTTTTGGCTCGGACATGATGCAGCTGAGGCCTGGCCCTGGACAATACGAGGCGAGTTTGGAAGTCGTTGGCAGTGGAGAAAACACAACCCTATAGTAGCGATGGCCTCCAACGAATTGCTGCATGCCTTGCGACTTTTTCCTGTGCAACGGGTGAAAGCGGTTGTTTGCTAGTCTGTGGCTCTGCTGCGCAGAAACAACCTGGAATGACAGAGGAAAAGTTCTTCAACCCACAGCTGCGGCCTTAAGGTCAAGCCAAGCGGACCAGTGGTTTGCCGCACAAGCATTTAAGATTGGAGCCTCTAGACTTGTTTGTAATTAGTATTGTGCTGTGACTCACGCAGACAGCTTCAGGTTGGGACGTTTCAACAAAGCACCAAAGCTCGTCAACAACCAGGACTGACAACAAGCTCTAAGTCATGAGGAACTTTTTGGATCTTTTTATGGAGCTCTTGGTTGAAATGCAGCAGTTGCCATGCATTTGCCATGCGTCTTGGGTATAGCCATTTGAGATTCAAGCCTATTTCAGCAGTTCTTGCCAACTGAGCGCGGCTCTCGCATCAACTGCTTTGTGTGTAACTCTACGCAACCATGCCGAGAACTCCGTCGAAGCGCGCCAACGTCAAAGTGTGTGTCTTTGGTTCTGGCACTTTCGGCACTGCGCTTGGCAGCGTAATGGCACGCAACGGCTTCACAGTGACGATCCTCTGTAGATGTGAAGAGGTAGCAAGCAGCATCAACACTCAGCACAAAAACCCTAGCCATTTGTCTGAGTGCAAGCTTCCACCCCTGCTTTCTGCAACAACATGCCCACAGGAAGCTTTGAAGGGAGTGGCATTCATCGTCCACAGTGTGCCAGTTCAGGCCTCCGAGGACTTTTTGAAGCCGCTGAAAGATTTGATCCCTGCAGATGTGCCCTTCATATCAACCTCTAAAGGCATCCACTCAGAAACGTTGGAGACCATGGCCGAGCTGGTACCCCGAGTCTTGCAGCGTCCACAAGTGATGGCATTCTTGAGTGGCCCTACCTTTGCCAAAGAGTTGATGGATGAAATTCCAAGTGCTGCCGTCGTTGCAGCGGAAGACCCTGCAGTGGCCGAGAGTTGTTCAGACCTCTTTCACTGCACTGTCTTCAAGACCTACACCACAACAGATGTCATTGGAGTCGAGGTGGGCGGAGCTTTAAAGAATGTCTATGCCCTTGCAGCAGGAACTCTAGAAGGTATGGGCCTGGGTTTCAACACAGCGGCCTTCCTGGTGACCCGTGCGTGCGTTGAGATGAATATGTTGGCGCTGGCCATGGGAGCACAACCCCACACCATGGTGGGCCTAGCTGGCATTGGAGATCTGATGCTCACATGCCTGGGAGGTGCCTCTCGGAACAAGGCCGTGGGTGCACGTATCGGTCAGGGCGAGTCACTGGCCTCGGTGCTGCAATCCCGGCAACAATCCTTGGCTGGTGTAGCGGAGGGTGTGGCCACAGCTCCTGCGGCCTTGAGATTGGCCCGCCGTCACAAGGTGCCAGTGCCCATCATTGATGCTGTAGCCTCAGTCATTGATGGTGTGGCTGGACCACGGGAGGCACTGCTCAGCTTGATGCAGCGACCGAAGGGTGAGGATTTTGCTGCTCATGTTCTGCATGGGGCAGAGAAGCAGCTGGTGCGGAGTGTGTCGCCACTTGGAGTTCCACCCAAATATTGGGCCTTTCTGGCTGTTGGCCAAGCCTCTTTGATCACAGCACTTTTCATTTGGTTCCGACGAAGCTAGTCAGCTAGGCAATGCTAGGCAGTTAGTTTCGCAGCCCTAGAGCCGTGCTCAACGTGTACAGATGACTCGAGGTGACTCGAGTTGAAATGAGCCCAGCTCTTAATCCCAATAGAATCTATAAAGAGCAGTTGCCTTGCTCAAAGAGTACAGCACACACAGATGCGAGGCATCAGTGCCTCAGCGACATTCAGTTCCGAGGCATTCATTGCAAATTCATTGCAATTGTAGAGTCATTGTTTCCAGCATATGTTTCAACATATACTTCAGAAACATCCAAGTGCGTGAAAAGAGAAACGTTGGACTTTGACATTGGAGGCAACTTGAAAACACACTCACTCATTGCCCACTCTGTCCCAACTTTTGCTCTGTTGCTTGTGTTCGTGTCCTTTTCTTCCTCCTTCCATGTCAGGAGGTTTTCAAGAAGCTTCCCTTCATCTCCAAGTTGGCTTCCACTTGCGAGGCCCTTCTTGACTCAACTTGATTCAAGTTGCCAGAGTTCATTTGTTGGTCAAGACTGCTCGCTCCATCATATATAACTACTCAGGCAACTATATATAACTAGTTTTCTCGTCATTTCTGTGCACTTGACGTGGGACAGACTTGAGGCTTCGAGCATTCGAACACAATTTCCGACTTATTTGCGCAGTTCACCGTCGCGCGTGCAGGGGTTTGGGCTTAGCTCGGACAACTTTCATTGCGTCGACCCCAAGGAAGTGTCAGGGACTAAGGCTTTTGAGAAGAGGGGGGGAATCTCTTGGACATCGTATTTGGAACGCTACTAGGGGCGCTCCTGGCCTTGCTACTAGGAACACGAGGACGCTACTAGTAACAAAGGGCATTGCTACTAGAAGTAAGGACGCTACTAATAGCGTCCTTGCTACTAATAGCGTCCTTGCTACTAATAGCGATGCCAGGAGCTACTAGTAGCTTGGGTTAGACACTTAGGAAAAAAAACTTGCTCCTAGTAGCGATGGCCTCGAACCTACTTGCGATGGCCTCCACCTAATAGCGTCCTTGGCCTGATCGTATTTGGAATGCTTCATGTATGCCAGAACATTGCCAGACAGATCGCCCAACGTCACAGTGCTGAGGAAACAGCTTCCGCACTACACGAAGGAGCCTGCGTAGAAATCTTAGGGCTTCAACCGGAGCTTGCCGGTGTGAGGTGATAGGACCAAAGAAGCACGATGTGATGATTGTGATGTAGTTATTCGCCATTGGATGTTCCTTAGAGTTCATTTGATGTTTGATGGACACCTTACCCAATTAAAAGGTTACAACTCACCTTTGTCATGCATCGGGTTCTTTCACGGGACTGCTTCGTAGTGCTTTCCGTTTCCGCCCGAGCCACTGAGTGATCGAGGTACTCCTTCGGTCGTACGCCCCGGCCCTTTTGAGGAGGCCATGTATTTAAATGGTTTAGGTCGATGGCAAAGATTTGCCGAAGACTTTCTTCGAGATGTCTCATTCCATCTACCAAATGTCCAGCTAGCAGAATTAGACTTGTGCGACATCTCGTTTGCTCTTCCAGCTATCCGAATATCTTCAGAGGGTCGGCTGAACCTGGCTGACCCGCCGGAATCAGTGAAAAGCGCAGCCTTCCGGGACGCCCAAGCTGCGTCAATGGAGGACTTTGTGACTATTTGAAGTGAGGGTTGTCCATCTGGAGAGGTTCGGCATGGTTGAGCAACTCCAACGAGGCTGAAGCAAAAAAGATGCCAACCCTGGTGTCAAGTTGCATGTCCATCGGAAGACCTCCAAATCGAGGCACTTCCGAACAATTGGGGTGTGACTGATGCCAGCCTCAGAAACTGGAGCCAATCTGGGGGTCTTACGACGGGAGGCCTCTATCTGAATCTAAATGCCAATCCCCTCCGTTCGCGTTCGTGGTTGGTCCAATGGCTTCAATCGTTTCAAGGGGCTTGTGCAGGGTCGGCCTAGGCAAGATGTTCGTTGCCGGGCAAGATTACCTCATGTGCCAACTTTTCTGAATGTTGTCCTTTATGCACATCTTCCTTCCCGAGGAATCGTCTCTTCGATTGGATACTTTGCTAGCTGTAAATTGTCCCATTCATTCAGAAATCTCTTGAACCGTTTGGGTGCTCCGTTAGGACCGTTTGGCTGTTGCATTGCTCCTGAGACCGAAGGGTGTTCCCACCCGTAACCGGTCTCGCTGTTCCGAATTGGCAGGAGCTTGGTGCGCAAACAGTGAGGCTCTCAAAGCAACCTTTTTCAAAGTGCACGACGGTGGATCCAGACGACGGAATGGCTGGAACTGGCATCTTCCTACCACTTCCGACTGGCCACAGTGCCATGGCCATGATGGCTCCAAGGTGTTTGATGAAGCAATCTGCCACAGTCTCAGGATCCGCCCACTCACCGCAGCCATTCGACCATTCTTTGCGCAGGTGGCTTTTGGCGGCTGGTCCCAATTGTCCAAGCGGAGTGCGAAGGCAGTCTCCGTGCGGCCTGGTCAACCACATCGGGCTAAACACCACAACCACCCTCACCTCAGAGCCTCATTAGCAAGGATTGTCTTACTCGAAGAAGGAGTGCGCGGCGGGCTTCTGAAGGGGGTTTTGCATGGTTTTGCATATTGATCAACCGGTTTTGCATTGAACAACGGAAAAAGAAGACACCGTCCAGGCCAGAGACTCCTTCAAACTCCTATCGTGGAGCCAAGGCAAGAGCAGGAGATCTTTGTGGGTTGATGGGGCTGGCCCTCTCTTTTGGGAGACACACCGCCGGAAATTTAACACCGAGATACGTTAAAGTATGAAGCAAGGCCCATGAGGGATGCTTGTTCAAGCGCTAACCGGGGCCCTGTGCGAAACTACGATTTTTAGATATTGTTATATAGTGTTTTTTGCGCCGTTTCGCATGTTGGGGATTGTTGGGGCACACTCACGGGCCTCCGTTGTAGGCATAGACATGCACAGCCGCAGACATGCAGCACACTCGTGAACTTCGTCTTTCCTTGAGTCTCGTTCTCTTGTTGCGTTTGAGCCAGTACTTCCCTGCTTCCAAGGACCACCCTGTCTTGAAAAACTTTCTTGCAATCGATCCTTGGGTTTGGGACTCCGCCTTGGACCTTTCTACTCAGCCATCTGACTCTGTTTTCGACTTTGTTTCCACCACAAAGGCCCGTTGGACTGGGAAGGGCTAGGTAGCTGCCGTGGTTTCTTGTGGTCAATCTGGGCTTTTGCAAATGCTCGTTCCACCTGTCTTGCTGACGGAAGCGGATGCCAGAGTGGTGTCACAGAGGCTGTGGAGCTATGCTTACAGCTTTCAGCTCGATGGAACGTGCAGGGAGATCTCTGGAATGAGGTCGCCAGGACCTGGCTGACAAAAAGAAGCAGCGGGCTGACAAAAAGAAGCAGCGGGCTCCACCAAGTGAATCATACAAGCAAAGTGTAAATTACTTTACTTCGAGTGATCCCCGGGAGTGCCCACTGCGATCTGGAGCTTGCGGTTGAGGTCCGGGAGTGCCCACCGCTATTTGGCGCATGCTGTTGGAGTCCGGGATTCCCCACTGTGATCTGGCGCTTGCTCTAGTGAAGCGGGGCAGAGGAGAAGGAGAGGGATCATCTTCTAAAATCTACTGTAACCACCCTCACATGACAGGTTGGGAACAAAGAGTGTTCACCGCTCTGGTGCCAAAACGCCGGTAACAAAACCGCCGCGTAAGAAACGCGTAAGCCCTAAGAGAAACAACATCACCGCGTAAGCGAAAACATTGGTAGCGTAAGCATTGCGGAAGCCGACGCGTAAGCAGAGAAGGACTATAAGGCCAAGACTAAAGGGTTTCGACCACCGCTCAGGTTGCTCCACTGAAGACTAGGAAACGCCGCTTTTGCCGAGCCCCTTATCAATATCCGCTTCTTGTCCCCAGTGACCGTGGCAGCCCAAATGCCTTTATTTTATGCAGGGCCTGCGGCTGCACATACAAAGCCAACGTGACCTCTTAAGAGTGCATGACAAGAACCATCCAAAGCCCAGCGCTTCTACGACTGTCCAATTGATGTCTTCCAGTGAAACGCTCGCTTCGCGCGGGGCCCGTTGGCGTCGATGCCTTGTTCAATGAAAACCTTGGCTGGTCACTTGTACATCCACCCCAATGTCAAGTCAGTCTTGCATGACGTTGGGGGCACACAGGCTTTGACCAGACGGTGGTTTTTCTTGACTGGGCTTGTCTGAATATGCAGATGCCGAACTTTCCTTGGCCGTAAAGTTGAAGTACCCCCTCCTCAACCCCAATCATGGAAAAAGACAGAGAGAGAGAGAGATAGTGAGTCTTGAAACCTTTTGTCGTCTTGGCTAGACAGAGGCACGCGGTGTCCGCGTGACTCATGGTTGCAAAAGAGAATCTGATGTGATCCATGTGTCCGTTCCCACAAAACGTGCCAGATCGTGGCTTGTGCCGCGCCGCTTTCGCATTTTGGAGCTCAGAGACGTCAAGGCTGCGGTGCCGATCTTAGATGGCATTGGGAAAACATGGTCGCGACAGACACTGCTGCTTGAGAATTGGCGGTGGTTAGCATAGGAGGACTGGTAAGCGGAGGTTGCTTCATAAATTCCGAGGTGGGAACTGCAGTTGGTGAAGGTGGCAACAGGCCTCGTGGTATTGGTCCGTATATTGGACTTTCGTGTCGTCATGGCTGCTCCAACTCCAGTTTTGATGAATTGTGCAGTTTGGCAGCTAGACAGAGTTGGCGGAAAGTCACAATTGTTTGTTTTCAATTGTTTTCATATTTTTTGGCACATGAGGCACATTGTTCCATAGCTATGATCAATTTTTGCCAGCTCCACCAGGAGATTCTGTGCCTGATGTGGCGTTTACACGCTGGAGATCAGAAGCGTCACGGCTCCGGTGCGGGGCGCAGGGTGGGCAGTTTTCCAAAAACACATTGCGGCACAGGCAAAACATGGATGGTCATGGCCCATGGCCATTGCTTGTTTTGAGAGACATGTTGCTTTCATGCGAACTTTGATAAAGAACAATCTTTGCACAGGCCTCGTCGCGTGCTTCAGGAAACACTAGTTATTAGTGGTAATTACTTGACATTCGCAGTTTCTTAGAATCACTTGGGGCAAACCAAAAGACAAGTTTGTGAGCTGCTGGACAACAGGGAGACTCATTGAATCATCTATGAGGGAGTGACTGCCAAGCATTGCACAGACTAAGGGGATCTAAGGGGCAAGTCTTGGTTTGAAACGCTCACTACCCGTGTGTGGTGGAAAGTGTTGGCTTGAGACTTGTTTAAAGTCAGCTAAAACTATGACTGTACTTATGTGTGAAGGAAAGCAATACGTAGAAGATCGAGCATGCTTTAGAATCGAGCCACCACTATGTCCGAAGGCATGAACGAGAGCTGGACGCACTCGCAGAAGAAACAAGAGGAGGCAACCAACCGTTGAAAGTGAATGGATGTGTAGTAGAAAGAACCTTTTCTGACATCACTCTCACAGCCAGAGCAGCGAAATTGAACATGCTGGAGAGGCTTGTTGCAACAACTGTGGCAGGCAAGACGATGCACCGGGCGGTCTTTGCTTGCTGGAGCACAGAGACAGCTCGACTTCGGCTTGGCCCCTGGTGTATTCTGCCAAGGGTTGTTTGAGCTTTGCTGTCACTTGAGGCGTGAACGAAAGCTGTTGGAAGCCCTGGCTCGGCAAGCTAAAGCAGGCAGATTGAATTTAATTAGTTTGCTTTCCTTGCCATCCTGTGCAACACAAGCAGTCATTTTTTTTGAATGCCCGCTGAGCAAGTTAATTGAGAAAACGTGTTAAGAAAAGTACAGTGGACAGCGCTACCAGTGCAGCCGAGCAGGAATGTCCGCACATTGGGCAGCGTTTGCGCGCTGGAAAGCTGCAATATCTCGACTGCGGTGCCAATCCTGGCAAATTCATGCACTTTGCTGATAAACAATTTGGGACTGTGCAGCTGAGAAATTAACAAGTGGTAGATGACTCCAGTCCTGAGAATTGACCAAAGTCGGTGTTGGATTCATTTCCTCCGCATCCCTCAACAGTGGAGGTACAAACGAAAGTTGATCGATGCCATTGCTCACCAGACCAAAGCAGGCAGGAGAAGCTATTATTGTTTTTCATTTCTATGTTAACTTAGGTAGCATTTTGCGTTTTACGCGGGAGGAAGGATAGGCCAATCATTTTCCAGGCATGTCACCATGCCTTCACCCGGTGACTTTTCAAGGGGTGTACTTCGCTAGACCACGAAATGATGTATATATATATATGTTACAATTTTACACTTACTGCTACAGAATCCTTGAAAGTTCGTCGCCCCCCAAACGATCTGTATTCAATAGGTTTGCCAATCCTGTTGGCTCCACACTGCTGTGGTTCACGATGGGAGCTCTGACTGTCCTTCAATCGAGCTATTGTTGCCCCATGGCAGGCAAGACGATGCACCGGGCGGTCTTTGCTTGCTGGAGCACAGAGACAGCTCGACTTCGGCTTGGCCCCTGGTGTATTCTGCCAAGGGTTGTTTGAGCTTTGCTGTCACTTGAGGCGTGAGCGAAAGCTGTTGGAAGCCCTGGCTCGGCAAGCTAAAGCAGGCAGCGGGGGGTTAGCCTACACCAGTGGCATCTCATCTCCGCTGTCGCTCAGGAGAGTCAGTGCAGTCGGCCTTTTCGCGGTGGAGTACCGAGACATCGCTTCTTCGGTGCCTGGGTCTTCGCGTGTCGTCTTGTGTGTCCAAACGCATCCCAAAGAGATCCGGTGAAGTCCTGAAGATAGCGTCCCCATGCGTCCCCTACCTTGAAACTGTAGACCCAAAGTTATCCCACAAATCTAGGAACCATTATTCAGCCCAAGTCGAACGTTTGCGTCCAGGCACCCAGTAGCTTCATAGCTACTTACTAGTAGCTTACTAACCTACTCTCATGGCCTGGGCTTTTGAGCAAAACAGATGAAATAGGACTTCCAAGGTTGAAGAATGTCAATGGCCTTCCACCGGGAAATGTGGCGATGTTTGGTGAAAGGGAAAGCGTCGCCAGGCGCTCCAGGCGTCTCCAAGAGGCCGTGGCTTTGCGCCTTCAGCGAGATCAAGCGCAAGGCGCGACCTGGAGAGCGACGTTGAAGTGCGACGTTTGTCCGAAATCTAGGAACCAAATGAACAGCGTGAGCTATCCTCCGTCCAGTAGCTACGAGCATGTTTAGTCCCTTACTTATATAATTAAGTAAGGAGGCCGGGCCGAGCGGGCCAAAAAAGACCATATTAGTAGCGAGCTAAAGGAATTGCTTTAACACAATGTTCTAATGTTAAGTTTCCCTAAAAATCTAGAAACCAAACCATTTGTGCAAGCGTGAGCTATCCTGCGTCCTAAGTAGTAGCATACTTGTAGGTACTAGCTACCTAGCTACTAGCTAACCTCACCTCTACATGCCTACCCCCACGGCCTCAAAAAAACAAACTATTTTAAAAAAAACGCGATGCGGCCGCGTTCACATCAGCTCTGCAGGTCTGATGCTTTGGGCGCTCCAGGAATGGAAGCGTGTGTCGAGTGAAGACGTGGGTCTTGAGCTTTGTTTTTTCTTCGACGAAGAAACTGTTTTGCAATGGCGATCTCTGATTTCAGCCTCTATATTTTTGTTGGTAGCTCACATTTTCAGTCTGCTGTATCTCACGTGTATGCTGAGGTCCTGCGAAGGCTCTGCTGGCATTTCCCTTTGCAGATGTTTCCTCAGAAGCAGGTCGAGACGACTTCCCGCCAGGACTTGGCTACCTGTGACAAACGCATCGAGCATATCAAGGCTGATGAAATCTGAGTTTTGTTGAAGCAGGGGGACACGTGTGGGTGTGCACACACCACACCCACAGGGGCAAATGGCCTGCCACTTCTTGATCTGGAAGTCGACCGTGACGAGGCCGCAGTGTCAATTTGTGGATTCATCCTGTTCCACTGGGTGTGTCACATGACATGTGATTTTCCTCCAAATCCAGGTGTGACAGCTTGCAGTCAAAGACATCAATGAATACTTGCTGTATAGGAACCAAATGAATAGTGCGAGCGCTTTTTCAAGGAAGCTTCCCCAAAGGCGGCGGGGGGAGCTTCCTTGGAGAAGTGTGAGCTTTCCCGCGTCCTAACATGTCCTACCTATGAGCGTCGAGTACATAAAAGCTGTATTATAGCTATATACTCTTCTACAGTGGCCTACCCCCCTCCGCCCTCCCGGGCTCTAAAAAAGAATGGTGAAAATAGACACAAAGGACACGGTTATCCAAAAAAGCACCCTTTTCCATCCCTTTCCACGAAAGAATCCCCCCGCAGGCACGCTCAGCTGGAGCTCCGTGGAGCTCGTGTGCTGGAGGAGGTCTGGAAGCATTCGGCCAAGAAGCTCTCGGTCTGGGCTTCGAAAACGAGCGCACAAATCAAGAGACAGACTGAGTGACTGGGACAGTCTGGGGCGCCAAAGGTCTTTGTATCAGTAAAGCTTTCATGATTGGCGCCAGTACAATCAATTGCCTCAAGGCCTTTCGCAGTTGGCATCATCTTGCTCGCCACTCTGCGTCTTGCGCCCGGAAATGACCTTGGAACTCTACCAAGAGACGCTACCGCGAGAGAGACAAACACACACAATGCAGAACATGTCGTTTCGCAGTGTTTGCGTCAAGCTGGTGTGAAAGAACATGGATTGACGGGTCACTCTGATGGGTCCTCCTTTTCTATTTGGATCCTGACCGATGAGAATCTGACTGTACAAGTAGGGACATAAGATAAGACGCAATTAAAACCAGCTATTTCCAGCCTGACTGATACGGCGTGGTACGGCAAACCTGGTGATCCTCTCAAAGACTCAATGCCTTGCAGGCGGATCAAGGTCAGCTTGTCTGCTGGCATGTTTGCCTTCCAAAGACTGGTCCTTGGCAGCAGGCTCAGATTGGCGGAGGGGTGGACCACCCAGCGAATAGGTCTAATAGGTCTGGGTCTTCGAGTCCTTTTTGTTCGAAGGAAAATCCAACAGGCCCCGAAGATGCTTCAAAATCTTCAAGCAAAAGAGCTTCGAGGTTTGTGTTCCATTCTTTCCCCGACTCCAAGGTGCTTGGAAGCTCGTTTGCACACGAGCAGGCCCATGGGTTTGTGACCATTACGGTGCACTGCTTTTCGCTGGATCTTTCTGGTAGCAAGATAACGCGGAATGTGACATGCTTTAGGAGAATGGTAGTGCAGTTGCAGAAGGGTTGCATCATTCACCTTTGCGCTGATGCTTTTTCTGCTCGAGTGCCATGTATTGATCAAGTTTGCCTCACGAGCAATCAGCGGCTGGGCATTCATTTCTAAGGTGTACACTTTTTGGAGCTGCGTATAGATGCACAGCATTCTCGAACTGGGAAAGATTTCATGTTCCGAATGTCTGAGGTTCTGATGGCACTTGGAGTCATATTAGCCTGTCTGTCAGACCTGATTTCTGGAAGTGCTGAGTGTCAGACCTCAAATTCTAGAGTTCTGCGCGAATCGCACATCCAACATCCCCAAATTACTGTCAAGTTCCTTCCACGTGTCTTTGCAATGATGCCAAAGAGTGCTTATACGTCTAGTTTCATACCATCAGCTTTGCAAACTGATGATTCTAAACATTGAACAGGCTAAACTTTTGGAGAGGACCGTAGAGAGAGGGAGAGAGGGAGATAGAGAGATGAAACAGTCGCCAATCCAACTTTGCAAACGTGGCCAGGCCTCCTAGCCTTGGGGGTGGCTGGCTTCGGGCAGCAGTGACTTGGCAGGGATGACCCCGATGGTCTTCGGTCGTGAGTGTGGGGAAATGCCTCCGTGCCGCACCTTGCCAAGAGCTTAGGAAAAACAATAGTGAGCCATAGCATTGCTTAATGTACCGACCTTTTAATCTTGCAACCCATCCACTCCTGTTTGCACAAAACCCATCCGCCCCGATACATGGGGCGACGAGAGCAATCAAGACACAATAGCCTCGAGGTTATGGCTGTGACTGTTGTGACCGTAAATATGAAGGCGATCCTTTCGCGCTGGATGGTTTGTCCTCGTGAGAAGTAGAACCCTGTGGGTGTGTGCCAAAGTATTCGGCTCAAGTAGTTCTGTTGTACATAGCCTGCAACAAGATGCGCTGTTGCATTCTCAGCCTACTTGTTTGTTGTATTTCTGCCACGCCGGAGCCTGTGAAAAATCTGGACGTGGAGAGCTTTCTTGGGAGGTGGTATCAAACGTATGGCAGTTTCAGTGTGAAATATGCCACCGAAGCTGGAGCCAATTGTGTCTTCGTTGACTATGTCTCTTCGCAGGGCGTCATCGCCTTGACAAACTCTGTGAGTCTTTTGGGTCTTCGTTTCAGCGTGCGTGGCTTTGCAGTGCCCAGCCCCAATGAGACTGGTGTCTTCGATGTGTCCTTAGGACCCACTTGGGTGGCACCCAAGCATCCTCGGCCCTTCCGGCGGCCGAATTATTTGGTGGTGAACTTGGGCCCCAAGTATGATGGCAAGTACGAATATGCAGTGGTCACTGACCCCAGCTTCCTGTCTCTGTACATTCTCACACGAGATACTCAACGCTTTGCCAGCTTTGAAGAGGATGTGCTGAAGGAAGTTGCCGCTATGGGCTTTACATCTTTCCTGAACAAGCCAAGAAAGACAAACCAGAATGGGTGCAACTATCCTGATCCACAGCTGCCCATAGCTTTCTGACTCCGTCCATGTGCTTTGATTTCACTCGCAAAAAGTGCCAATTCGCGTGTGATACGCACAACATAACAAATTTCCGGCACGGTTTGACTGTTCAATCCCACGTGGTGTTACCCCAGCAACTTTTCAAGCGAGAGTAGGCGGTGTCATTACTATCAGGATCAGCATAATTCAGCATACTCTTCTAATTTTGTTATCACGTGCTTGCTTGCAGTTGGACACGCATGCACTGCACCCTTCTTCTATCCTCTCATGTTTCAAGCTATATACTGTAATTCTGCTGTCTCCAATGCTTTCCTTCAACTCCAAATTCAACACTGCATGGATGATCCTGCTATATATTAGTAGTAACAAAGAAGCTAATAGAAACAAGTGCCACGCTAGTAGTAACAGGTGCCTTACTAGTAGTAACAAAGAAGCTAATAGAAACAAGTGCCACGCTAGTAGTAACAG